ATATATATATATATATATATATATATATCCATCTACTATATTTTAATTTTTTTTACATATAGACTTCTTAAGGATAAAATTGATAAAAGAATGTGTACAATAATTAAGTTAATTGTTTACTCTAGATATATACTAACCGCTTACTTTATGATATTAATTGCCTATGTATTTATTTTATTTTAACGAAATTACATAGTGCCATTATTTCTGTTAGTAAATATAAAAATATTACATAAACATTGGTGTCAAGACTAAAAAATGGAGGTCGTCTATGAATGGTCACTTTGTCAGCCTCCTTCAAATTGTCAGTTTTTCACATTATCAAGTCGGTTTGCCTGGAATAGTCTTTCTCTCGTATATTTAATATTTTATATCAACTTCGAATTCCTCTTTAGCGAGAGATCTTCCTTCTTTTTTTACGTGATGTGAATGATTAAATTAGATGTTTAATTCAATTTTAAAGTTTAATATCAGAATCAATTTATGATTATTTTGGAAATAATAAATGCAAGGTGTGGAATTCTTGTTATTAAGCTTTGAGACTCTGAATCTTCTTTGTTCTATTCATCAAGAAAGTAAGGCATGTGCCCTTGTTTCACGCCATCAATGCTTCGAAATTGATATTCAATTAATCACCCGTTTTCCTTTGATATTTTCCGGAGGAATTTTAACTTTTAAGTGACAATACCACATTCGTTTTTATTGGTTCAACGTACACTTTATTTAATGCTTCTTTTACTTTTTTTTTTTTAATTTTATAATTTTTAATAAATTTTAACTAATTATAATGAGTTATTTTTAAAAAAAAATATGTTAGAAATTATATTGTTAGTTCTCATTTTAAATATAGAATAAAATTTAACTATGATTATTCGAATTTGTGGTATATATAACTAAATAAGTTATTTAGGTTCAGTTTGTTTCAAGTAATCTTTTGATATTTTTGAAAATATAAAGATGAAAATATTTATCTTTATGTGTGTTATATGTCACGATTCGTCTTGATCGTCACATTAAACATAATTACTATTATTAGCAGTGTAAATTAAAGTACTAGAACATATAAGATTAAAGGACAGGATATATTATACATATATTGAATATGAATATAAAAGTAGAGTGCCTATACTAACATAAAAAATTTATATAAATGTATCTAGTAATCTCAAAGTAATCTTATGTCTTATATCAGTTGAGCACAACTATACAAACTACCATAGTAGCACCAACACCAACCAAAAAGCATCACCAACCTCGAAGCAGCAACAACTCCTCTAGCATAATTTTAATTTTCTCTCATACAACATATGATCATTGTAATCCAAACCATGATAGAAATAGAAGGTAAGATAAAGTTCAAAAACATATAAGTGTAGAAAACAATTCTATAACCTACAACATCATAGAAAAACATACATGAAAGGCAAACATCTCAAAGCAAACATGTATCTCATTCACACCATGTTAAGCATGACATTCAACAATGCACATAACCACACGACAACATACATCTGCAAATGTCTCGACCAATGTGTCATCACGTATCCACCTACAAAGATCTCTTAATAACTTGAGCAATCTAAGTGACTCTATCCTACTAAATCAACCCAGTCATTTTTGCACTCAAAGCACCGACTTGATCATAGCAAAATGGGATACCAACCCCTCCTATGATTTCTTGAGTATTGTCACTTACACTAAGAAAGTCTGGTTCTATCGTTAGAAATAGTACAATTAGGTATAGGCTAACCACAACATTGATATGCATTACCAAGTCACATATGAAATTCGCTTACTAATTACCTTCAAGGAATCACGCAACATTCCCAAGTACTTGGTTAAAGGTTGTAACCCTCGACCTCCTACCTTACTCAACCACTAAGGACCTAAAGGAGACATCAACTCACTTCAAAACTCACTTCAAGAGATACACCTACTCAAGGAAAGTTTTCCAACGATGGTTTATCTGAGCATCACTTCAAGATTCCCTATGTAGAATTTTCAATTTTCAAAACATTTTTCCTCTCCTCAAAACCTAAGTTAGTCAACATACCTTAATGTCATGTTGTATTTTCAGCATCCACACCTCACAATACATCATTTATATACATCACATTCAGGCAATACATACACTAGTAGAAAATGGGTCTTTTACGTCACCTCTTTATCATCGAACATACCAAAAATTGACGTAAAAAAGATGCAGTGACATTTTTGTAATTTTTTTTAACTCTTTTACGTCGGACCCTACCAAGTCCGACGTAATAAAAGAAGCGCGAAAATGACTCACATGAAAATCTATTTAGAGTACCACTTCTGCTTTGGCACAAACACTTTATCTCGCTCACGGACTGACTCACTCGAAAATGAAAGCACCAAAAGAGTGGTGGAGTGGTGGCGGCGATGGTTGTATTTCCATGAAAGCACCAAAGGCGAGTAGAGAACAAAGCACTCACTCGAAAATGTGGCACTGCATCGCTCGCGGACTTCACCCCAACCACCCGCTTAGATCTCACCTTTAGGGTTTTTCCTGAAAATCTATGTGCCTCTTTTCTTTCTTGTTTATGAATTAATGCAAGCTCTATGTGCCTTTCTTCTTTCTTATTTGGGTTGTTAACCGCTGTGCATGTACTACTGGTTGAAATGGGCATGCTTTATTACATCTAGAACGACCCATTCTACAACCAGAACAGTCTGTTCCTGTTGCAATCTTTGTGTGTAAATTGTCCATCTGGAACGGGCCATTCTGGTTTAGAACGGGTCGTTCCAGATGGACAATAAATACACAAATGACTACAAGCAGAACGGGCCATTCTAGTTGCAGAACGGGCCGTTCTAGATGTTTGTCATCACAATTTTAAGTAGGTTCTTGGGAATGTCCGACGTAAATTTACGTCGGCCCGCTTTAACGTCAGAGTTTTTTGCGACATAAAAACCCTAAAATAACCGACGTAGAATACACATTATGTACTAGTGATATAGTGATCAACAACACCATACAAATATATAGCATATATACATATGCTCACCATCACCCAACACCATACAATCATTTATATATGTCATATCCAATCAACACATATAAAACAATCATCATACATGTAATAGGATAAAATAGTCCACTCATGTTCATCATACAAGTCCACCGAAACACCAACAAATCATTCAAGCATCTCGCACCTAGTGCAACATACCTCGCGTTCAATGCCATTGAGGTAGGAAGTTCTCTTTGCCTCACTCACGCCTAGTGTCATCCAAACCGCATCCGACATGACCAAGGTGGAGACCCATTAGGACCTCATGATAGTGGAAAGTCCAAAACAATAACAACAACTAATTGAGAAAGAGTAATAATGCATAGGAAATTAAATCTCCTACTTGCAAGAATCTACAAGGTGCATTAACAAAATAGAACAAAAATAGACAATCCAAATGCACAAGAGACACAAATATTTTTAATATAAAAAATTCCTCGATGTAAGGATAAAAATCATGAGTCGTTCAAATCAAATAAAAACTTCACTATGATCAACAAAGAGTACAAGAGAGTCTCCAAATAACGCATCAAATAGTGCCTACAATCAACCAAGACAAAACTAAGCACAATTTCTTACAATTGATAAATAAGAAGATAAAAAAACCCCAAAATAAAGATGTTATGCGAGACACTTTACTCCCACTCCAAACTTTCTTTCAACGATCAAACCGTTAAATATGAAACATTGTGTATTATGAACCTATTATGAATCTCTAATTGTGACCCGTAACTTTCTTTTCTCTCCTATCTGTATTTTGCTGCCGTTTTCTCAAATTGAGTCACTCTTTCTACCCTAATTTGATCCCTCTCTACTTGGTTAAATGAGACATGAACTTATACAATTTAGGCTTATTCTTCACATAAGAAGAGAGTCCAAAATCTAACATTTCTCACCTAATATGTTAAAATCCACGTCCAACTTCATATTAGGTAGAACTAGTTCTTTATCTATCGCGGGAAGAGTATGTTTGATTAATTTTGTCCTCACATCTCTACCGTTGTACTTCATGTCATTTTACACCTATGACCTCCCTTGCCCCCTCAAAAATAAGGCCAGATCCTTGCTGGTTTGGATGTTTACATATTCCTCCTTTCTTTTTTTTTTAAATCTTTCTTCATACCTTTCTACTGATAAAAGGTAGCACATTCATTGTATGAAATAATAAATTTCCAATTCAACCCTTTTTAGGCCTTACATATTACTCTTTCTGGTCTTTTTGTAAGAATCAAATTAGAAGCTTGGTTTGGTCCTTTTCATAAGAATCAATCTAGAATTTTGCATTAATTATTTTTTACAAAAATACCCTCAATCATGAATCTTTTTTTCTATGTTCAACAAATAGTAGGTAAGATAAATTAATGTCTTGCACTCTTTAGAAGTATAACTTTGCCTTATATGGAGAGAGTTATTTTTATCCATGGTGATAATCCGCAGAGTGTCTCAAAACTAATAAAAAAGGACTAATTTGAGTTTGCGGAGCATAACTTAACATTATTTTGCCCCTTCACATTCACAGCTAATAAAACTCAAGACTTTAAATATAGTAATAATGAGAGAGATTAAAAGAATTAAATATTTGAAAAAAGAACAAGAATGTCTATTAACATCAAGGGAAATTTTTAAAAGACCACATAAATTTAAGATAAATTTAATGCTACTAACTAAATTAACTAATTTCCTCAGTTCTAATGAAATAGTTAATTGAGTCTTATAAAAAGTATTGGACGGATCAACAATAATTCAAGTTCCAATGCCTGGACATATAATAGCAGAAAAAATAGAATGAGAACAAAGTAAAATAAAGATGATATGCACTACCTTTAGTTTGGATCCCCGTGTGTACTGCGAGGCTTTTCCAATTGATGTATCTTGAGAACATCCATTCTCATTTTCAAATGATTTTTCAGCAATATATTTCGTTTGAGATTTTTTCATAGGCATGCCATTATCACTGACATCATCTTCAGATGATGATTGTTCAGATGAACTTTGTATTCTACGTTTAGGAGAGACTGAAATTTGACCATTGGTATATGCACTATATTTTTCTGTTTGTTTTTGTATTCGTTTCTGATTTGACTGTGAATACAATTTGTCTGATGTCAACTGTGTCGCCTTTCCTTCCATGGTAGGAAATTTCCTTTTTGATTGTGATAATTCTGGAACCAAATCAGGAGATGTCTCTGCAAAATAAGATGCATTTGTAGAATATCATAAGGTCACCCACAATAAGATTTCACTTAATGAGCAAGCACATTGTGTATCACACTACAACAGCAAGGCAGACATCATACCTTTATCAGCAGAATCTCTGATTAGTATTTTACTTCGATTGGAAGCATAACCAATTTTATGGCAGTTAGTGCTCCTAAATAAAATAGACAATAACAAATAAGTAAAACATAAATAATTCATAGTACACACAAAAATAAGGCCAGATCCTTGCTTGTTTGGATGTTTACATATTCCTCCTTTCTTTTTTTTTTAAATCTTTCTTCATACCTTTCTACTGATAAAAGGTAGCACATTCATTGTATGAAATAATAAATTTCCAATTCAACCCTTTTTAGGCCTTACATATTACTCTTTCTGGTCTTTTTGTAAGAATCAAATTAGAAGCTTGGTTTGGTCCTTTTCATAAGAATCAATCTAGAATTTGTTGTTCAAAAAAAAAGGTAGAGGATAATTTAATATATATATATATATATAATTAACATCTTTTGTTATTTCAAACTTTTTAAATGACCGTTTTTATAAATTCCTCTAAAAACATTATATAAAACTAAATTCAATTTTAAAGTAAACTATAAATACAAGAATGATATGAATGTTATTGCACCTTGTATTAGAGATAAGAATGATATACTATAAATATTTCTTAGTTTGAAATATAGATAATAATATTTTAGATTTCAGCTAATGAAATTGTGTTGAGTACACTTTTTTTAATAAGGTGTTTTTAATTCGTTTTAAATTTATTTAAAATTAAATCCTAAAGTCATTTAAAATTTTATATAAAAAAAGTCAATCAAAGCTAAATAAAATTAAATAAATGTATTGACAATTTTTTGTTTACGTTTAAATTTCAAAAGTTTATAGTTGTTTGTCTCTTAATTTTTGAATAATTGTATATATTTAAATTAACTAGGTTTTATTGTTTTGGACTTTCGGGTTCCAGATATTCGAATTTTGGATTGTTCGGTTGGGCTGAATTGGATATAGCTATATTGGACCTAACAATTTTGGCAATTTATTTTCTCCTAATTTTTTTTCATGTTTATGCCTAGTAGTTCGAAATCTATAAAATTATTACATTAAACCTTCTTTTTAACTGTAATTAAAATGGTCCAAGACTAATTTTTTAATATATTTCTTACTGTATTTTAATGGTAAAAAATAAATTAAAATAGTAAATCATATTTACATAAATTTTCTTAATTATAATTATAAAGATTAATATGATAATTTTTAATATTTATCATATTTCTTTTGAAAAAAATTTTAAGTAAGGATGTTTCTATCAAGTCATGATTTATGATGTAGGTTCAATTCTCGTCATATCTTTATAATCTTCTTATGGATTAAAAAAGATATTTCATTTCTTTCCATAATTTAAACCTTGAAATGTAAATCTAGAAAACACAAGCTCTAACAAATACAAAAATTTTCAGAGAGATTAGGTCTTAATAGAAGCACAATTATCTTAGGTACACTTTCATGCATACACACTGTAACACCCCAATTTTTTTAAAAAGGTACTTTTGTAATTCACAATAAGATTTCACTTAATGAGCAAGCACATTGTGTATCACACTACAACAGCAAGGCAGACATCATACCTTTATCAGCAGAATCTCTGATTAGTATTTTACTTCGATTGGAAGCATAACCAATTTTATGGCAGTTAGTGCTCCTAAATAAAATAGACAATAACAAATAAGTAAAACATAAATAATTCATAGTACACAAGCCATTATCGTGAATAGTTCAATCGAGAATAAAGAATCACCAGTATTTTTTCTGCATTTGTATCAATTTAGACTCCAGTCTTGATAAAACTAAAGTACGCTCAAAGCCTTGCTTATCATGGGCAGGTTCAACAAAATTGGCTTCCAACACTCCTGTGAAGAGGAATGAACCTTAAATCAATACGATACATTTGATAAAAGGACCTCAGAACTCAAAGAACACAGCAAAAGGTTCCACCTATGACCCCACGCCCTCCACTTCCAGCTGGATTCCAGATCCTCCAGAATGGCTGACAATCAAGAAAACAACCTATAAGAATTATGACAATATTTGGACCCCAGCAAACAAACAGCACCAACTCCCCCAAGTGGGAAAGTGCATATTGATTGTTTTATCATTAGAACAACTTATGAACTTAATCCCCTCAAACTAGGCTTCCAAGTTGTTCAAAGAAAGTTTTGATTGTTGGAAAGGATATCTAGAGTTCTTAACATGATATGCAAGTTACCCAAACAATAATGTTAATTTAATTCAAAAGAACTCATTATAAGAAGGCTAATTTGAGGAGTTATAAGGTGGTGTGGGGGGAGGCACAAAAGGTTGGAGATAAGACGGGAGCAGGTTCAAATCTTCCCAGCTAACATAACTCACTAATTATTAACATTTACCAATCAAAAATAAATAAATAAATAAAAACAAGGCCAAGTTAAAAACAGTTTGAACGAAGCAAGACTATTTTCAGAACAATACACAACAAACAGCTGATTGATAAACCTTAAAAGCCCAGGAGATAAATTGCAAATTTTCTCATTTCTGTAAGAGAACACTATTTCTTGACTACTGTCATCTGTCACTTTTCCTAGTTTACTGATACAAGTGGTTATTCAGTTAGCAGGCAGTTATAACTGCCTCCGTTTAGTTTGTCCAGATTCGTAAGCTATATATAGCACTTGTAACAGAACTGGGCTCACTTACATGTAACATCAGAGCCAATACATTCTTTTGCCTCTTAAATTCTCTAATAATTACTAAGAATTAAATAAGGAAAACAAAAGGATGACGTTAAGCAATTAATACCAATTATAATGATCCTATTGATTGGTATTGTGTTTTTAGGTAACATACGACACTATTGTGTTTTTAGCTAACATACGACAACAAAAATTATGTCAGTACATTAATTTTTTAGTTACTGTCAAATGACCAACTGAAGTCTTGCATATTAAAATCAACAAGCCCAGGTTAACAACTGAAGAAGTTATTCTTCATTATCTCAAAAAGCAATTGGATAAGTAAAACATAAATAATTCATAGTACACAAGCCATTATCGTGAATAGTTCAATCGAGAATAAAGAATCACCAGTATTTTTTCTGCATTTGTATCAATTTAGACTCCAGTCTTGATATATAAATCATTGATTAAATTAATAGTTTAATTAATATAAACCATTCATAACGAAAGATTTGTGTTGCTTGTATACTAATATAAATAGGTGCATAGGATTATGACAAATCAAATCAAACAAAAGAGTGAAAACAATCCTCTGAGAACATTGTAAGAGATAAAGAATTCATTGAGAATTATTCTTTGTAGTTTTGTTCTTTTTATAATAATAAAAAAAATTTAGTGTCTACTATCTTTCCTAAAGTTATAATTCTACATCAAATACGATTTTATCATAACATTAATACATCAAACATTGCAACAAAAGTTGCACGATTTCAATTTTGAAGACAATAACTTAAACAGTTAAAATCTTGCAACATATATGTAGCAAATGGACATTGTAAGTAGTAAGCACATGTAAACATTTTCATCAAAAAATAAGTCAAAACAAAAGATAGCAAGTCAAACCTAAGACAAGAAAGAACCTCAAAATTTGAGTAAAGGTAATGTTTTTTTTATACTTAAATTGAGGGTGGGATTGCACAATACACATTAAAATTGACTACTTATACCATAAATTAACCTCAAGATTTGAGTTTGTTGCTCCTAGTGACTTCAAATGAATGAATCCTTTCAAAACTCAATCATACAGATGGAAAATGTAATATATATATATATATATATATATATATATATATAAGAAAACTTAAAAAGAATTAGAAAGAATATAAAAAAAAAAACTTTAAAGTAAAGATGTAAGAGGCACTAAACTTTTTACTAGTTTGGTTGTAGATGACAATGTCTCGAGGGAACCACACTCAAATCCAAAAGGGCGGCTATAAAGTGAAGAGGTAAAGGATTCTCACAACCAAATTAGTTGCAAGTCTAATGCCTCTTACATTTCTGTTTTAAAGTTAGATCACACTCAAACCCAAAAGGGTAACTATAAAAATACTATATAACTCAAATACATCATAAAACTAAAGTTCCACCTATATAACTCAAGGAATAAAATATGAATGTAGGCTTTATTTGGGTGGTTGTGAGATTTGATTTTTGATTTTCAAATGCAATTTTTAAATAAAACATGTTTAGCAAAAATAGTTAACTAAAGTTCCACCTATAACTATAAAAACATTATATATAACTCAAATACATCATAAAACTAAAGTTCCACCTATATAACTCAATGAATAATATATGAATGTAGACTTTATTCGGGTGATTGCGAGATTTGATTTTTGATTTTCAAATGCAATTTTTAAATAAAATATGTGTGAGCAAAAATGAAGTTAAAATAATTTTTTTAAATCAACGTCAAAACACTATTACATATTTTCAAAACAAAAAAAATAAGTATTTTTAAATCTAACTTTTAGTTAAAACAATTTCCTGCTGCATTTGTCAATAACTATATTTGTCGCTACCACTAATAATGATACTACCACAACTATTACTATCACCATCAATATCGCTACTACTACCATTAACATTAACATCATCACCACAATTATCATTATTATTGTACCAAATCTATTGGTATTGGTATTGGTATGAAGAATAAACCATCAAAAGAAGTGATTAATCTCAATTCAAGACCATGAGACCATGAGTGCACATAGTGTAAGTATTATTCTCTCAATATAGTCTATTCCATATCCAAGACTAAGATGTGAATCTTGAAAAACTTAGTTAAGTAATACAAATCACTACCACTTGTATGAGTTGTATCAACTAATATTAATACACTCTTAACTAATTTTAATAGGATAGAAAATTTTCAAATATTTTAAAACTAAAAAAAAAAACTAAAGCTAAAATTTGATCATAGCTTTTAAGTTGTTTTTGTAAAAAAAAAAAAAAAACTTACAAGTGAAAAATATTATATAAACTTTAACATAATATATGTAAGGTTTGTCTAGATAAACTTATTTATAAACACTTTTGGAAGAGAACGTGAAATGAACTTCTTCACAAGTTAAAATTAATTTTTTTATAAGTTAATTTGTAGAAGTTATATTCTATTAACTTCTTCAAAATCTTATTTTTAACTCTTGCATTAAATAATCTTAGCTCATAATTTTTTTTAAAAAAAAATTCTTCCTATTTTTCTCATAAAAGTGTTTCTGTAAGATATTTTTAAAAAGGCCCGTAATCCATTGATACTTTTTTTTTCTCCTATTGTACAAATAAATAAGATTAGAATGCATTCAACGTAAGATCTTATCTACAATAACTAAATTTCCACCACTACTAGGTTAGTTCTATTGAGTGTTCTCTACAGTCCGCCCTAAGCCCTTCAAGTACGTGGGTTGGGCCCTTATCGTCTCAATTAAATGGCAGCATCCAAAGTTGAAGGTCGCTTCTCGACCAAGAAGAAAGGGCATTTGACGTGCTATCTTTCAAAAAATGTGTCGTTGATTTAGATCAAATTTTTTGTCATTCTAGCAAACATCAAACATAAAAACAAAATGTAGTTTCATTTAATTTAAATGTAATATCAGATTAAATCTACTCCATATTAATTCAGTTTCATTCACAGTATTTTCATTCTTATATGATAATTTATTTATTATTAATTTACCAACTAATAATAAATATTTAAATTAGTTGTTGCCAGCTCAATACCCACTAACAATTCAATTGATACATAACTATAATTTGGGTTCTTTTAAAAAAAACAAAAAATTAAATACTAAAACCATACAATTAATATTTCTCTAAACTAAAAATTTTCTTAAATAAATATTCTAACTATATTAAAAGTAACAAAAGCGCTTCAATAAGAAAACAAAATTACTAATAATACAAAATAAAATTTAATTCAGTTTTAAAAAATCCAAAGTTAAAAAAATATATTTTTATTTTCAATTTTCCAACAATTAAATCAATTTTGATATTTTATGCATTTATCAATTTCAATTCAAATATTGAGTGGATGAACTCTATATAAAAGACGGTCTAATTTAAAAATATTGTTTAATACATAGCTTTACTTCTTCAAATGCTGCCAATTTTTTATTCTCTTGTACAATGCCTAAACAAATCATCCAACATATAAAAGTTTTCTATAAAGAAAAGCCTATTTTGTGTAGAGAACACTCATAGAAGATTGGTATATTTCCCAAGATAATTGAGAACACTCATAGAAGATAGGTATATTTCCCAAGAAAATTCAAGGCTTCCCTGTGTAACCCCAAGGATTGTTCTTTGCCCAATTCCATTGGTCCCTGCACATCTCCTCCACACCATATTTTGCCCTGTAAAGGAGCCAAATTAATAATACAAAGCAAAAAAAAAAAAAACATAAAATTCAAGGTAAAATGAAAGATCCCTACGTCTTGTTTATCAGATATACAAGTTTATTGAAGCATAGTATGCTAGTATTTGAAATTTGAGACTCTTGATTTTTCAGTCAACAAAATTTGCTTGTCAAAAACCCAAATGATTACCGATTTGACCATGATAGCACCCAAAGGACTAAAGTACTTACTTCCAACCAAGTTCTTTCTCAGCTTTCTCTGTAGATGCATAAACTTCCGTAGCATCTCCCGGTCTTTTTGGACACAACTTTATCGGAATTTTCTGAAGATTTGATTTCCAAATGAAAAAGAGAAGACTTCAGACGGGATTATTTCATTCATGTGCATGTTTATATACAAAAAGGAATTGATTTTCATTGATATAAAAATTTGGCATTCTTACACCATTCCACAATTTTCATTTTCGATGTACATCAGGAAGAGACAATTACCTTGCCAGAAGCCTTTTCAAATGCTGCAACCATTTCAAGCACAGATGTTCCACGACCAGTTCCCAGATTGTAAGCAGTACAACCTGAACAACAATATATCACATTTTACTTTAGCGCACACAGAAAAACAATAAACCTATAAACATCAAAATACTTGTACAAATACAATTGACACAGATTTGTCCAATATATATTGAAGTGAATTAGAGAAGGAAAAGAATAACTCACCTATGTTTTCCGTTGTGAAGAGCTTTCTCAAGGCTGCAATATGACCATCTGCTAAGTCCATCACATGGATATAGTCCCGGATCTTATTTTGAATAAGGAAAAAGAAAACAGGATTAGCATTTTTGCAGGGGTAAAAAAAACATGTCTATGCTGTTGTTTACTTAGTCCAACTGTCACATTTTCCCCTAATGTCCTATCATGGAGTATGGAATGTTAAAACTTAAAATAAACATATCGAAAAGTACATATGAAGAAAAATTAAAATAAATTTTTTAATAAATTAAAATCAATCTATGCATAAATTAATTTTCTTAAACTATTTATATTAACTTCTCCAAAAATCTTTTTTTTTATTTTTTATTTTGTGCAGAAATTAATTTTAACTATTTTTTTTTTCCGTAAAAGTTTTTTCAGTGAAGTTTATCAAAACATGTCATGTACATATGATGTAAAGAAAAGGAAAGAATAAATGGCAGAATATGCATGAAATTTACGAACCGCAGAGCCATCTCTAGTGGGATAGTCATGACCATATACGTTGAGTTCAGGCAATCTTCCAACAGCTACTTGCTGAATATATGGCATGAGGTTATTCGGGATACCCTTTGGGTCTTCACCGAGTTTACCACTTTCATGAGCCCCAACCGGGTTAAAGTATCTCAGTAATATGATCCTCCATTCTGGCTCAGCTTTCTGAATATCTCGGGCGATTTCTTCCAGGAAAAGCTTCAATCAATTGAAACGTCAATCAGAGACAAGCCAGTGAAACTTATAAATTATTGAATTAGAAACCCCAAAGTACCAACAACAAAAGGGAAAAAAGAAAAAAAAAAAAAAAGTGATGTTTACCTTGGTCCGTCCATAGGGATTCATAGCTTGCAACTTGAAATCCTCCTCACATGGTATCTTTTCAGGCTGGCCATAAACGGTTGCCGATGATGAGAAAACCAGCTGTGCAGAAACACCGAAAACACGTGTTAACCAATATACTTATTCTATGCTATCAAAAGAGAAAAAGAAAAGGTGAGAGTCTGATGCTGTTTCCTTCTTTGTAACACAAAGTAAAGTACAAACTAATCTACAAAAAATGAAATGAAAGTGAAAGACGAATATATAATGGCCAATGTAATTTTGGTTACTTCAAATACCGAAGCCAATCTAAAATTCTCAACATATTATAGGACTACAATTGAAGTAATTAGAGCATGATAAAATGTGGGTGAGAGACAAACCTTTTTACAATTATACTTTGCCATAACCTCATAGAGATTGATAGTACCAACTAAATTAAAATCAAAATAGCGACGCGGCTTCGCAACGCTTTCCGCTACTGCTTTGAGGCCAGCGAAGTGAATCACCGCATCAAATCTATTTCAAAAAATATATTATATATTATAAGAAAACCAAAAAAAAAAAAAAAAGGAAAAGGAAAATCCGTATACGCACTTTGTTTTGGAGAAGAGTCTCTCCAAGTCATCCTTATTCCTGAGATCGCCCTGGGTGAATTGGAGATTCTGAGAAAGGTGGGGACCTACAACTTCCCGTACCCGGTCGACCGCTTCCATGACGGAATTGTCGAAGTTGTCGATTATGGAAACGGTGAAGCCGCCATTGAGAAGCTGGACGACGGTGTGGGTGCCTATGAAACCGGCGCCACCGGTGACCAGAATCTTTTGGGAGGAGGAGACCATTGTGGGGATAGCGAGAGTGAGAGAGAGAGAGAGGGAGGAGAATTTAAAGTGAGAGAGATAATGGAATTTGATTTGGGATAAGCGTTAATCCGTTTCGGTTTGTTACTTTCGCGCGCGCCCTTCTGTTTTTTTTGTTTTTTTTTTTCGCTGTTTTGCGCGTGGGTCCCACACAGGATTGGGCCTTTCGGATTGGTTTGCCACGGAACGTCACCTCATGCGCGTGATTGCCGAATCTCGCCTCATCCTCATCTTCTCCAAACTTCTTTTCGGTAATATTGCCGTCTTTTCTCTATCTCATCATTATTTTGTTACTCCTATTAATTACTCACTTATAAATTTACTTTTTCATTAATTACTTAAAATTGGTTCACTATTAAAACAACATAATTAATGCTTATAATACTGTGTTATCTATTCATATCTATAAGAAAGGCACATAATTAATTTTTTTAAGATTTATTATTAATTAGTATTTTAATAATGTACCAATAGGGATTTATTTATTCTAAAAATAAGTTTATTTAATTTTATTTTATTCAATAATTCATGTTTTTACATTAAATTTTTATAATTTAATTATTAAATTTAAAGTTCTTAATGCATAAATTTAAGTTTGTAAATTTTTAAAAAATTTAAAAATTATTTAATATTTCATTTCATTAATTCAAATTGACAGATAATCATAAAATTATTTTATACATTTATTTGATTTATTGAAATGAAATATCAAATAATTTTTATATTTTCTAAAAATTTACAAAATTGATCTATACATTAAAAACTTTAAATTTAACGGTTAGATCATTGAAATTTGATGTAAAACATGAGTCATTGAACATGCTAAGTCTAAATAGACTTACCCTAGAGTAATTGAATCCCTCTCATAATGTACATACATGTTTATTATATATAATATAATTAAAATTTGTAATAAATAACAGAAAAATACAATATTTAAATATATAAATTATATTTGAAATAAGTATATATAAATTTTTTTAAACATATAAATTATATTTTAAATTTATGATAAATAATTTAAAAAAATATTTGTTATTGATAAATTATTTTAAAATATTATTATTAAATTAATAAATAATTATAATAAATAAAAATTAAATTAAATAAAAGATAAAAAAAATATATACAGACATTCTCATTAAAGAAAAATTCTTAAAAATATTATTACGTAATATAAAAATTCGTATTTAATATAAAAAGGTTAATATTTAAAAAATATATAACGTATTTAAGAATCACTATTAATAATGTTCTAAATTTATATATAAGCAAATCAAACTAATTTTACATATATTACAAATTTATTAAAAATATTTAATTTTTACAATTTTATATAAATATATACATTATATTTTTTAATATATCTTTAATCACATTTATAATAGATAGTATTTTCATTTATTACTATATAGATATTTTTAAATTAAGAACATTAAATAATTTTTTTTTTTCAATAAAAATCAATTATATTTTACATCAAAGTTTATAGATAAATTCAAAGTAGCTGTAAAAGAAAAAATGCATTTTTATAATTCTCTATTAATAGTTGTAAAAAAAAAAAAGAGAGGTTATAATAATATCGGTGTAACTTTTACTAAGTGTTATACCATTCAATAATTTTATATTAAATGCGAATTTTGTAAATTCAGCCATTAAATTAAAAGTTCATATCTCTTAGATCATATATACAAAATCTAATTTTAATCAAAGATGATTTGATACTTCATTTTTATAAAATAAAATTGACGTAATATATTCATTTTCAAAATATACTAAAATATGAACACTTTGATCACCTTCAAATTATTGTTTAATTTTAACAAAATTTGATATACACCTATAAAGTGATATGAACTTTCAATCTAACGGTTGATTTTACAAAATTCACATTTAATATATAGTTATTGAGTGGTGTAACACTTGATAAAAGTTACACCGGTATATTTATAACCCATCGTAAAAAAAAACACATAATTAATATTTTTAAGATTGAGTATTAATAGTTTTTTTTATAAATTAATCAATAATAAATATATGTAAATAGTTATTAATTAATAAGTAATGTAATTACTTTTGGATAGTTATTTAAAAGATGTAAAATGTCTGAAAAATAAATCAATTGCTATATATTAAATATGGATAACTATTTTGAATAATAGTATTTTTAAAAAATTTCTTCAACAATTTTTTTATAGAAATTATCTTAACTTTGAATCTAATTTGATGTTTATTTATCATAATTATTTAAGAATTAAATTTTAAATTAAATTATCAATAAAAAAAATAATTTAATGTTACAATATAAATTATTTTATCATGAATCATAATTATAATTTATATTATTATAAATACTTATTTATATAAAAATAAAAAATAAAAAAAAACTATTTAAAAGATCATGTGTACTTTACATTTAAAGTTTAAAAGATAAAAAATCCAAAAGCTTAATAAAATAGATATTAAGTTTAAATAGATAATTAATGTTGTATCTTATCTAATTTTTTTAACAGAAAAATCATTTTAGTTGCAAGAAAAATCTTATCAAATGTTGTATCTTGCAAAAATATTAACAGAAAAAATATGATATTTGAAAATTATATTTATTAAAAAAAATCATTTTAGTTGCAAGAAAATAAAGTCACTAAAATATAAAAATTATATATATTTAAAATATTTATTTATATAAAATTTAAATATATTTTATATTTTTAAACATAGTATTTATTTTTATATATAATTTATTATAAGTTTTAGTTATATATAATAAGCGTTTGATTTGTATATTACACATATTAAAATATTAGTAGGAAAAAATATAAATTAAATAAAGAAAGAAAAAATATACATTTTATTTATACATAAAATGTATAAATAAAAAATGTGTATTACCTTTATTGATAGTTAATGGGGTCTAAACATTTCAGACTTCTATATTTTATATAATCAAAATATTTAAAACTTATTAATATTATAAATTAATTGGTATTGTATTTGATCTTTAAATTTAAAGGTCTTGAGTTTGAGTTTTATTTTTGTAAAAATGATTAAATTTTAATATTATTTTTATTATTTAAATTTTTTAAGATAAAATTATCTAAAAAATATATACACCAAATAAAACAATCTCATTTTTTATATGTTATAAATGTTGTAAATCCTTGATAAAAACCTATTATATATTTATTTATATATAAAATAAAATATCATTGGTAAAATTGTATTAGATATTTCTTTATAACGATATTGTTTTATATTTTTATAAATTTTTAATTATTTTTATTTT